GACCCTTGTGAAAGTATCTTAAATTCCGCATCACTAACCACTCTCCATCGAGCTATTAAATGGAGAAAGAATCTATTTTTACTAATGTACTAAAGTAGGTAATAAATAATAGAAACAGCTGCGTCCTTAGTTACTCTTTCCATTTTGACTATTGATATGGCGAGTTAAAAGTTTTTGATTAATTTGGCGAATGACTAGTAAAATGAGGAAGTGCACTATCATAAGAACGACGAAAAAATATTTAGTATAATTTTATAACATTTTTGAAAAAAATATCATAAGAACTCCTATGAACCGGTTTTTAAACCAGATCACTAGAAATAAGGTTTTCTTCATTAACCGGTTTAAATATGGCTCCAGGCAATGATCTCAGAAAGTTCGGCGCAGTTTTAAGTGCGCATACTCATATCCATAACATCCGTACACAGGTATAAATGTCGTCGCTTAAAAATGATACATTCGCATTAAAAGAACCAAACGAATTAACCGGTTTTTATTCCATATAATTTACACACTGCATTTAGTCCCGATCCGGAACGGAATATTACAAGAAAACGGGTTTTACCTAAATTAAAACGGTTTATTCTACACTGGTTTCAGAACCGTTGAATGGATTTAGATAATTGAGGTATCGTTAGATTTGTCTGAGTAATCTTAGATAGGTAACGTTTGATAATGAAGTATGGCGGCTGGGCGTCACCATTATATTTGATGATAAAAAATTTGTTTCAAATACTACAAAGAGGGTATAAATTAAGGGGCACAAGGATTCCAAAATTTGATATTTGATTATCATTACCGTTATACCAATAAAAATAATACAATAATAAAGTTTAATAATATAGACTTTGTTCTTTCACTTTCTGAACCAATCTGATAATTTGTCTTACTAAAAAGACATAAATAAAATCATAATTAATAAAAACAAAAAACATCATACATAAACATGCAGTCGGAGGCATGAAATTAAATAATAAATCAAATAATTCTGTGTTTGTGCATGAATTATATTTCTTTATTAATGTGTACTCGAATTTCATTAAAAAACACGAAACAATAGCATGGAGAAATTTTGTCATTCTTTATATTTCGTATCATTTGTATGTTGTAAATAGTAGTAAAATTTTGCTCTATTATAAAAGTCTGAAAATATTAATGCTATAAAGTTACTCAAAATAATAAAATATCTGCAACTAACTAAGCAAGGCGTTGCAGATTCAATGCTTTTTCTCAAATTAACCGTTAAGTCGTTAATTACCTTAGCACCGTGACTTACATTATATAGAATGTCAAAAGACCTTTTGAAAATAAAATTAAATAAACTCTTACTAAGCTAGGTTTAAAGAACCATGAACTTAGATGATCGTTTTATCTAATAAAAAGGACAAGTAAATTTTGATAACGCAATCGAATAATTTGGAAAAATAGTCTTGTAAACAGTATTATTTGTTGTTTTATTTTAGGAGTGTTCTGAGTATAGAAAACTGCCCTGCTTAGTATGTTCACGTAAGGTATTATGCTTCGCCGTCAATCGAAACGAGTTACAAACTGCAGTCTAACTAAAGGCAAAGCTAAGTATAGTTTACTTTATGTGAAACTAAAACTCCAATTCATTTATTTAGTCTAGACGGTTCAAAGCACTCGTGGATTTCAAAATACTACGCCATCGGTTCGTAAATCCACTATAGGAAATCTTATACCTTGTACTGAGAAGAGCTGACAAGAAATCAAAGGTCGAGTTTGTTGGATAGTATAGTACTCGTATTTTCTATGAAATGTTTGTAATGTGGTCACACTATCGCTTGTAGTCGCAGAAAATAATTAATATACTTTTTATCCCATAAAACATTACTCATACATTATAATTATTACAATTTCAAATTCACAAAAGAAGTGTAATCTAAACTAACATTAAGAAAGAGGTAAGTTGTCTGATTTGTAGAGGGTAATCTTCGGAAATGCTAATCCGATCATGAAGATTCTTTCACCTACGGGATGATACTTCATACGCATTGCTTTAGGTTATAATTTACGCGGACAAAGGCGGGGGAAAACACCTAGTTGGTTATATAGACAATCCCATAACCTTTCCCTTAATCCAAAACTTAAGTACAACACACACCAACAATGCAACTTACCTAATGAGCTCGGTGCACCAAAATCCATGATGCTGCTTCCGGAGCTATCCAGACGACAAACTTTCATAGCTCCCGCACACTTTTAAGTTTCATTTCAAGATATTTTTATTACTTATGGTCTGCATATGAATGCTCTCAGGTGGGCAAGCCTTACTCATGGCGAAAAACAAGAATTTCTAGCACTAATAACACTTTCTCGTTTAAATTAGACGACCAAACTCGGTCTCCCGTTATTTCTTTTGTTCTCGCGTCTTTCACGTCAATGGTTTAGGGTTGTCGTGGAATAAATACCTTGTGAAATGCTTATATTTGTACTTTTTGCCATATCCACGGCCCATGTATCATAATCATTGATCCATGATCAAGACTAATCATATCAACGTCTATGACTTATGCGTCTTGGTTTTCTTCTCTTCACTTTATCCGCTCTTTCAGGGCAGGCAGGCAATATAGACAAAAAATTTCAAAATCTGACATTTGTTTACAAAAGTTTTTTTACAGCATTTTCTTTTCTTTTTGTATTTTTATATTATTTTCGAAACATCTATCAATATTCTGAAAAAATGACATCCAATCGAATAACCTAAGCCATATTTATAAATAACGATGAGTTACGAAAAAAATTACCCTCCAATCGGCATTGGGCCAGCGTGGAGGGGTCATGGGCCCATCCTCCCTAACCAGTGGGGACGTAAAAGGGCTGGTGATGACGAAAAAAAATAATTATCGCAGTCTAAAAAAAGGTTATAGCATAAACATCATCATCATCAGCCGTAAGACGCCCATTGCTGAGCATAGGCCTCCCCCATAGATTTCCACGACGATCGGTCCTGCGCAGCCCGCATCCAGCGGCTACCCGCAACCTTTATAAGATCGTTGGTCCACCTGGTGGAAGGCCTACCCATTGAGCGTCGTCCGGTACGTGGTCGCCGTTCCAAAACTCTGCCCCAACGGCCATCAGTTCTTCTCGTATACGTCCTCATCTTGTTAAAAATCAACAAATAAATATTTACCTATAGCAAGCTTTTTTATGGGTTCTAAATATCTTGTAAATAATAAGGTGATGTAAAAATGATAAAATTACATTTTCACCAATTTTTATTCGACATGTAACTTATAAATCATATATGTATGTACATTAATATAATTTACTCTACAATATGTACTTTATCAGTATTATTCATTTAAACGTCACGGTAATTTATAGAAGGATAGAAACCTTAAATATGACGGGATCAATGAGTCTAGGGCTTAATAGTTTGTGAAAATAAGATATTTTGGTAAGGGATATTGGACCTACTCATACAAATACACATAATGAACATAAAAACATTTGAGATAGTAACATTGTAATAAAAAAACACAAGACGGAAGTACCGTAGTGAATAAAACATAGAATGTATCAAGTAGGTAGGTTTATTAAAATAATTGTTATGATATAAAAATTATAACCATTATTATTATTATAATTGAAATGCAACACATTCTTCATAGCTGCCTTCATGATCTCGGGAACATCAAATTTTTTATAAAAAACAGAATTCTGCCGGTAAGTATCTATTGCAAAAGTGTCACAATGTCTTTGTATCTGACAGAGGATATAAGATTCTCTATATTTCAAATGTATGGCAAATCGTTAGGATATACTTGAGGGTTTTTGATATTTGTGTATCAGATATTTTAAAATTATCTAGCAGAGTTCTTTCTGCGTTGTAATAAGGGACCCTTTCTGTCAGATAAAAACATCCAAACTCACATCTTGCACATAAAATGGTTTTTTACTCCCTGCAGAAATCCTTACAAACATTATGAAGCAATTTTCGTCTACGGTTTTTTTTTCTTTCAATAATTTAATAAAATACAGTTCAAATTTACGGTTTATGCGTTTAATGTCTGTATATTTTTGCATAATCCAAATGTAAGCAAACACAATAATGATGGTTAGCTTTCGAGTCCATAGCTTTCTGAGGAAAAAGATTGTATTTTAGTTTATATGTAGGTTCACTTTCCGACCCCTATTTTTGTAGGTCTAGGAGCAACACTCGCTTATTGTCAAATTTAACACTCTTTATAAACCTTTAGCATATCGTTGTTCAGCTGATTTCAAAGGATCCATCGTTTTGTTTCAAATACTCTTCTTTTTCTGTAGTGTTTACATCTGGTTCACTTAATTATTATATCTATTGCGGTCATCACATGTATTAGATCCGGCAGTTTGAACGCTACGTTAAATATTTTACAAACATCACGATAAAGCCATTCCATTGCTCTCTTATTTGTGGGAATGTTTTTTCTTTCATAATTTTTCATATTGCTTGTACATGGTTAGTATATTTAATTCAGGTCCAAGATAGCACTTGCAGGTTTTGCTCCGAGAATAATCAGATTCATAACTAGGATACGACGAGATATGATCTATGATGCCTCGATAAACATCGTCATCGGTTTTGTTGCTTGGGCGTTGTTTGCATTTTCAATACATAGTTTAACGAATTTTTCTCCTACGTCCAAAGTATTAAGAAACATAACTTTACATACTTGTACTGTGTCTGATCCCACTTGAAATGTATATATGTAAGTAAACTTCCTTCTGTCTTCCTCTAAAACTCCTTTTGACCTTTCTTTGATTTTTCTTGTCACTCTGGTAGCCTCTGTTCCCGTGTATTGCAAATCTTCCAATAATGTTTAAATATGACTTCTTTTTTCATGGTTAATTTTTTCATAACAATTTGCTCTACAAGTACAGGCCGTTTTTAATTGTTTTGCTCCTTTTGTTTTTGAAACCGATATATATGATGATCTTGCTAATTTAGCATTTTTTGCTTTTATTTTTTTCCAATTATCTTGGTCTCTAATACGTTTTTATGGTTGCTTTTTTGTTGAAGATTTGGCAGTTGGTCTCGTTTTCGTTTGTCTAGCTTGTAAAGAAGATTGCACACCTTTTTCAGTTTCAGCGCTATCGTTTCTGTTGGACGGATTACATTCTTGTTTCTTTTCAAATCGTAGTTCGTTACTCTGCCTCACAATTATATTAGTATTTATGACACTGTCTTTAATGTATGTTAAGTTTTCGGCTATCTTTGCATCACCTAACAAGTCTTTCAAGTTTATCAACTCGTCATCATCGCAATATGCTTTCTGTTTCTTTTTTTCTACTTTCTCATATTTCTGTTTTCTTGAGGACTTTTATATAGTTTTCTTTATGTGAGGCACTTGTTTGAGCCTTCAGTTTACTGTTAACCTTCAGTGTTCAGTTACTCGTATTTTGAGAATTCAACTTTGTCTTTTTTATTTACTTGTGTATTCTGCAAAGATATTTCATAGATATTGTTTTCCTTCTTACTCGTTTTTTCATTGCCATCGTTAAATATTTTCTTTATGTTGTATATTCTCTTCTTTGGAATTCTCCTGGTATCATATGAGTCAGAATCTGAAGAGTTTTCCATTAGCATATAATCCTTATCAGCTTGAGGGTCATCACTATCATAATTTTTTTCTGAATCTGAAACAAAATATTTTATAAGATTATATAGTTACTTAGTACTGTACACTAAAAGTGATCTAGATTAAGCACATGTGTTGTGTTAATTATCGACGATGGGTATAACCAAAATCGAACAGGTAGTAAGAAACATAATATATTTGACAAAAACTAACCTTTCTACGAGTATAATATAGCAAGGTCAGATTTGCATTTACATTAACGGGAATCGATCTCGGATATTCGTCAAAAATAACCTACCAGCTATCCAGTTAAGAACAAAACGAAACAAATAATAGTAACGAGAAAATTCTTCTTTTTTTTCTGAACGTTTATTTTCCGGCAGGGATGGCAGTCTTTCATTTTGTTGTAAAATATCATCTAAAACATCAAACATAGTTTATTATACTATTTTCTTAACCAAAAGTGCTCGATAGCTATTAAAAAACCTTACCTGTAGAGCGTCCTATGCATTGATTCAATTGATCAATGTTGTTTAAATTTTGAACAAAATGCAATGCGAAACCTAAAGAAATTCTTTACAAGTACCAAAAAATTCTGCATTTGTAATAAACATACATTTATTACTAATATTTTTAATTTCCTTAACTCCTGGAATCTATAAAGTTTCAATACTGCACTTGCTAATTGTATTTAATGATTAATATTTACTTGCACCAAACTATTCCATATGTGGTAGCGTCATGAACTGGTATTTACATTCAAGACACCCTCTGACCGATGCTAACCGACGCGGCCGCGATTTATCGGTACTCGCCAGGCGTATATTTACGTTTTATCTCTCTCTAATGCCCATTAAAAATATATGCTATCTCTTACACAATGCAAGTTGTGTAGATCTTAAATGAACATTAGATCTACTATGAAGGCGTTATTTCAAGGTTACAAGAGGCAAAAAGCCGCAATTGAACGTCAGTTGTTTTTGCTCTAAATTCATGTGGACATCCGACCTTTTTTTAGTAAACTTAACATGGTAAATAAAAGAGATAATGTAATAATTATTAGAAAGCCCGGAAGAGAAATGTTCTAGAATAAAAGTGATTTTCGCAATAATAGGGGTGTAGTCAACATATTTCTACTTTTTTTATAGATAATATATCTAAAAATAAATTTAATTTTCACATTTCTCACGAAAGCGCCACTTCTGTCATGGCGACACGGCTCTCTGAAACTAATATCGTTCTATGTTCCGATATGAGCATGAGTGGTGTGACATCACGCGCTCGCGTGGCAATTTGTATAAAATATGTTTTATTTTTCCGATTTATGCAATATTTTAAATATAATAAGCATAATAGTTTGATTATCGGTAGTTGTATATTATACACTACCAGAAAAAAAAAAGAAATATGAATTTGTTTTCGTTTACCGTCTACACCCGTATTGAACATCCGACCAGTTTGCTCTGATGTACAGATACATAGGTAGTTATGACTTAGTGTGCAAAGTATTCGTAAGTTTATATATTCGCTTAACGTGGGGCAGACAAAATAGTGGTAAGTAAATGTTCAAATTAGTACAAGCAAGCGATATAAAACAAAAATAAAGTATTATAACCATATAATGATGGAGGAGGCTTTCACAACAAGGGATTAAAATAATCATTTCTTACTAAAATTATTCATATATCAAGATTTGGAAGAAATAAATAAATTATAAAATGAATTCTTAACATTAGTTTATTATGCATAGCGAGTGTCAGAGTACCTTTATCATAATATTATTAACTTAGGAAATTATTCACAAAACTTTAGCAGCACATTTTTTCTTATTACTGTGCGATTTTTCGGTTTAATTTTTTTTTTTTCATTTTTACATGTAGTTCTTGTTTTTAAATAATAATTCTATTAAAATTGATAACCTGTCTATATCATTTTTTATTCGTTGGTAACGTTTATTTTTTCGCTTTCGTGCTAATATTTCTTCCCTAGACCTCTCTTTTTACGTACTAGAATTATTTCTGTCTGTGTAAATTGATAATGTTAATAATAAAATAGGAATCTTAATTGAAATGCTAAGCTTTTATCCGGCAGGAATGTGAAAAGCAGATGCAAACTTAACTATATTATACTTCTATATATTTATGTATATTATTATCAATAAATAATTATAATTAATCAAAACTCAAATGCAGCCGTTCCAAATATGTACTTTTTATCTTTAATACTTAGAATTTTAGCTCTAAATCAGTTCATTTAACTGTGTCAAATTCAACGTAGCTCGGTGGCGTAGTGGATAAGCGCCGCGGCCCGCGATCGTAGTCGTTAAGCAACTTTCGCAAGGGTCGGTCACGGGATGGGTGACCAAAATATTATTATCTCGAGCTACTCCGTGCTTCGGAAGGCACGTTAAGCCGTTGGTCCCGGCTGCATTTGCAGTCGTTAATACCCTCCAATCCGCATTGGGCCAGCGTGGAGGGTCATGGCCCATCCTCCTTAACCATCCATAAGGAAGGCCTGAGCCCCTGCAGTGGGGACGTAAAAGGGCTGGTGAAAAAAAAAAATTCAAAATTACTTTTCACATTAAAAAACTTATTAAAAGTACACCAGAAAACTTATTAAAAATCAACAGCAAAGGCAACAAGTATGTTAAATTTCTTTACTTGATTTTAAACTTTAATGCGTTAAGGGTAAAGTTCAAAATCAATTGCGATAATTTCATATTGCTGACTTGGTGCTGCCTTTATTTTCAATACTCCAACATTTTTTTAATACACACTTAGGATAATATCAACAAAGAGAGAAATAAATAGGCTTAGATACCATGTAGACAAACCTGACTGACTTATATATCAACGCACAACCGAAACTACTGTAACTTGAAACTGTAAATTTGATACAGGGTTTACTTTTATAATGTAGATGAGCACTAATAAAAGACTTAGAATTTCAACCTCTAAGGGGGTGAAATAGGGGTTGAATTTTATATGGAGCATGGGGATGAACCCGCTGGCGGAGAGCTACTTTCAAATTATTTATATTGTATATTCGGTACAAAAATATAAAAAAAAATTAGAACGATTCTATTAGATTAGATTTTACTAAATATTTCATCTTTATTCGAGCTAAAATTTTATAATGAAGCCTACGAACATTCTAGAAATTATTTAAAAAAATCTACAAGTTCCAGGTGTCCAACATGGGCAACATGATAAAGAATATGATCAAATCTAATCTGGTGCTAATAATACATAAAAATAGAAACGAATTTGACCCTGACAGATACTTCCTAGTACCAAACGAAAAGATCAATCGCCTACTGCACTAATACAAGGCCATGTTCTGTATTTATCATAGCACAATACAAAGCTGAAGATTCTGACTCACCGACACAACTAGGGTGGCCAGACGGTACGGATTTGTCTGGATTTTCCCGACTTTTCGGAGGATGTTCAGAGTCTTGAAAAATCAAATGTTATTTGATAAAATCATTACATCGATCAATAAATCGGTAACGGCTGAAACGACTTAGAAATTATTCCATTATTTTTGTTTGTTATTCATCAATGTTTTGTATTGATTTTTGTCTCTAGTAATCCTGACTTTGACAACCCGCCGCTATAGCTGAAATTACGAATTAAGTGTTATGCACGATGAAACAAGTTTCACGAAACTAATTTCTGCACATGTGAAACTAATTTCAAAACACATTACTCTCATTTGCGTTACGCAGTCGGGTAATAAAGACGTGCAATCAGCAGTGTCACTGAGACCTTGGCTTCGTCAATATCTAAGCTTGAGTATACACAGATGATATCGACATTAGTTTCGTGCTTATCGCGGTGAAATTAGTTGCGTCCACTAGTTTCATAAAATCTGCGCATGACACGAAACTAGTCTAGTGGATAAAACTAAAGTGTCAAATGCCACTATGCATTATGCTAATTTTACATGTGAAATTGCTAGTGAATTTAATGTAATGATAGTTTCATTTGTAATTCGGTTTCCTTATGTAAATTCGGCTCAATTGAAAACAACATAACGCCAACACACACCCGTGCGTTCTGACATGTTGGCGGCATACGCAGCAGAAAACAACTAAGTTAGCAGCTTTGCAGCGGTCAGTTGACCCCCTTGTTGATACTTTACTCGGGGCATCACTTCTGCTAATGTTAACCTAATAACGGCACTTCAATGGCGTTGCAATAAATACAAGTACAATGGCGTCTTGATGAATCAATGATGATACTGGCGTCAATGGCGTCTTGAAGAATCGACGATGTCAATAATGAACTCTTTTATTTTGCTATATAGTGGCAGGAACTGAGTCGAAACAAGCTGCCATTGAAACGCCATTGACACAAATTTATTGACATTAGCAAAATTCAGCTCCTGTACTGAAATCGTTATATTTTTATGTCCAACTGACGAATAGGGATGATGACTAATTTTTGTTTGTTTGTCCGTCAGGTAGAGTGTTAAAAAATATTAAACACGTATTTTTTTATTTTTTTCGTAATCATAAAATTACGGCGTTACATTGAGTTGAAATTTCGCATGACGTCACGTTAGGGTACGTTTTCTACTCAACTGTGACGTAGCTAGCCCCCACTCCTCAACTTTAATGCCTGTTATCTAAGCTATTTCTTGTTTAATTGAAGTAAAAAAAAATACGTATCTAATATTTTTCTATTATCTGACTGACGGACTAAATAGAATTGCATTTTTTTTACCCAGTGGTCATCCCTATTGCCACCGACAAAATTTAACGACGATATTAGATATAATACACATCTTGTAACTATAACACAGACTAGTGATATAAAGAAAAACTACCAAAACAAAAGTCATTAATAGAAATACATTTATTATTCACTAGAGGAGTTACCCACTATCCATATATATATTTTTTCAACAAAAATGCATACTAAACTGTCATAAGACGCAAAACGAATGATTCAAAATAGATATCTGATTAGTTTTTGCCGGTGGACACTCATTTCAGAGTTGAGATGTATTATAGTACATAGAGATGGATTAACGTAACAAATACCGGCTATAAATAACCGTGACGTCTTAAATATTTGACAACAAAAGATAATTCTTTATACAAGTCTACCTTTTAAACGTTCTTCGTTTTAAACAAACTTAATTATAGTAACTGTGTAACTTTATTAGTATTGAATTGATATCATAGTAAACTATAAAATACTCCCTGCACATCATCTTATTGATAAATGATAAAAAGTACCACATGTACAAGTGCCGTACTGGTAGTATTTGCGAAAATATATATCTTTTTTTTATTTCACATAATATTTAATAGTAAGGGTCCATAAAAATTTAAAACACTAATCTATATTTTAAATTTAATATTTCGAATCCTATGTGATTATTTGATCGCCGGACAAAACGCCATGCTCCACTTTCAGATGGCGGAGAATCGAAGATACATTCATATCGATGTCAATGTCCTTCAAACATTTAAACTGGCATATCTTGCATGTGAAATATTGATCATCGTTTCTGTCGAACACTTTCCATACCCAGCTGTGGTCTTCTGCTAGAAATGAAAAGAGACTTAATAATTTCTTAACTACGCCGTCTACCGTTGTAATAGAGAAGCACTATTTTGTAACGTGAATAATAGATGGCGCTGTGTTAAGTTTTATCAGTCGCAGCCCTATCCTTTTAAATAGTAAAATTTATCTTTGTCAACATGACAGACATTGCTCTTGTTTGTAATCTCAGTTAAAAAGTCGAATATCTACATCTACATTGATTATAAAGCTTATGACGGGCACCTGAAAACAAGTGTATTACTGCAGAACGGATAATTTCGATATTAGGAAACACTTACGTCCAGTTTTGCGATGTATCATCTTCAAATGGCGATTCATGTTGCCAGTGGCGTTGCCGCCATGACTAATGTTTCTCTTGCATAATTTGCACTGTGCCAGAGTGCTCGATATGCGGTCAAAATACAACCAGATCCAACTGCGTCTATGGAGTTGTTTCTGCGCTTTGGTTTCTATGAAATAAACAATATATTATACGTATTTCACTGTTGTATTCACAATGACTTTTTTCATTAACGCAATGACATTAATCTTTTAATCTTGCTAATATTATAAAGGAGAACGATTTCATTGTTTGCATTTAATAGCCTCGAAAACTTTTCAAAATTCTGTCACCTACGGTGATACATTATAACAGCTAGTTTTGTATAAACAAAACAAAAAAATAACCTATATTTTTTTACAATCCGGGCTTTCTGATACTGGCTAATTTCTCCAGCTAGTTGTAACTTTCCGCGATTGGTGAGCGTATTCTCGTCAATATTCAGGCAGTTCACCTAAATAGCACAAATTTTGCATTCACAAAACTATTTTTAGTACTCAAATTGTGAAAGGTTGCGTTCAGAGCCCATCTCGAGTTATCTGACACTGTTGAATTACCTATAGCATTATGAAGCTTATCAGGCTGACAATCAATCAGCAGAGCGACTGCCGAACTCTAGCCATAACTTTGGCAATGCCATACGTCATCTTAGCCATGTCATGGTGATAGGTATATTGCTTCATTTTACACCTTGACATGTACTTTAATAACGATGAACTATTATAAACAATAATGATTAATTAGTAATTTATTCCAAATTAATCCACCAAAATACATGTTAAAGTAGTAAGATGTGACGAAATATTGCCACATTGCTAAGATGTCATATCCTATGGCTAGAGTTGGCGTTTGACGTGCTTTCATCAGCTGCCTTAAGGCTGTCATTAAAAAAAAATTGCCGCGTTTTAGCGTCTCACGTAAATGGTATTATTAAATGCCATTTTATTTGTATTTAAAATTGAAGTATTGAAATAGTATCAAGCTCTAAATTGGTTGCCTGCCAAATAACCATTGCTATGAAACTCTAATAAGTAATTGTAATTAAAAATTTATGTTTACCTATTTCATATCTTTCGAAATCCGTACTTATATCTTCTGACATTGAAGAGTGTTCAATTTCAACGCTAGAGTCCATCTCAAGATTTTTTTTCTCTAACATCTCAGTTTGATATACACTTGGGTGCTTTGTTCTGACATGACGATTCATGTTATTAGTGTTGCAACCTTTGATAGACAGGATAGAATCGCACAACGTACAACGATAAATGATGTCGCTTATGCGATCAAAGTATTTCCATACCCAACTCTTTTTTCTTGTTTCTGGAATGAAAAAACAAACATGATCGTAAAAACTGTTTAACTCAATTCAACAGGTCAATGTTTCCTAAACTGTGAGTAATGAACACCAGTGGGTCACAAATGAAATATTAAGTGGACCTTAATGGCGATTTGCCACTGTACAAGACATATTTTTTTTTTCTAAAACAGCTAACAGATAGTTTCATTAGATAAGTCAAAGCCCAATCAACTTTTGGAATCACTATAATCATCATCATCATCATCAGCTCTTTTACGTCCCCACTGCAGGGGCTCAGGCCTTACGTATGGATGGTTAAGAAGGATGGGCCATAACCCTCCTCGCTGGCCCAATGCAGATTGGAGGGTATTAACGACTGCAAATGCAGCTGGGACCAACGACTTAGCGTGCCTTCCGAAGCACGGAGTATCTCGAGATAATAGTTTTTGGGACCGACCCTAGCGAAAGTTGCTTAACAACAACGATCGCGGGCCGCGGCGCTTATCCTCTAAGCCACCGAGCTACTATCCACCAACATCATCACTGTAATAGATTATCGAAATTTTAAAACTGGTTTTTCGTTAATTTAATACACTGAGTGCTTATTACCAGGTGGCTTTATGAGACAATTATAAGGCCCATGATAAGCTATGTGGAGCGATTGTGTGGTGGACCAAGGCAGCACAGGTAACAGTCATAAATAAACTAAAAAGCCTCCAAAGACGCGCATGCTGCGCAATTTCTGGCTGCACGAGGACCACCCCGACTACAGCACTAGAGACGATACTCAATATAAGACCTCTACATCTTTTCATACAACAGGAGGCCATGTGCACCGCCACACGATTAAACACGTTGGGGCTATGGAGGGATAATGGCACACCGCGCACTAACATTCTAAAGGACATCGACAAAGAATACCCATTTTAAGGCAACAAACGACTTAATTCCCAGACGGTACGTATTTGACAAGAAATACAAAATACAACTCTACGAGGACACACAAGACTAAAGCTAACTCAGGTACAGGTGCGGGTGTTTTCTCCGAGGACCTAAATATCCACATATCTACGGAACTGGGAACTTATAACACGGTCTTCCAGGCCGAATGTTTGGGTATAATAAAGGCTGCCGAGGTTTATATGCCGGAGAGTGAGAGGTAAGAACATGCGTATACTCTCTGACAGTGCATCAGTACTACAAGCACTAGACAGCAACATAATGACATCAGGTTTAATACACGAATGCCACTGTAAATTACTGATGGTATGTAAGAGAAACAAATTAACTCTGCAATGGGTTAAGGGACATGAGGGGTAATGATGCAGCAGACTGCTTGGCCAGAGAGGGATCCAGCAGAAAACCCATCGGACCGGAACCCATTATACCCATCCCATTTCGACAACTCAGGAACTAGGTAAGAGAACGTAGTTTACGTCAACACGATGAATACTGGTCACAAACGACAGACTGCAGGCAAACCAAAGAAGCAATTTCGAAGGTAGACCTACGACTAGCACGTAAGTTAAACAAATTAACAAGACAAACTCTAAGGCAAATACAAGATATACCAACTGGACATGGTAACTTTAACAAACACCTTTATAACATGGGTTACTCTGAAAGTCCTCTGTGCAGGGTGTGCATGGAGACTGAGGAGACAAGCGCTCATGTATTACTGGAGTGCAGTGGCCTATTAAGACAAAATACTAAACATCTGGGTAGCCCAAGGACACTAGTGGAGGCATGCGGCAAGAGTTCGGGGACTTATGGGCTTCCTGGAGGAGCTGGGGTGGCAGGACTAATGCAACCCCGTGTCACGCAAAACAGGCATAGAGTGTAGAGTTGCGGAAAAACCCGCCGTGAAACATAACATAACTTAACATAACACTGAGTGCTAAATATTCATTTTATGTTTGCTATAAATATTGTTTATGTATATCACTTATTAGAAAAATATATTTGACATCAATAATAGACAATATCAGCCACTAATTGTGATCCAATCCACATAAAAATAAAAAGTGATATTCAAGAGATGCTTGAGTATGTAACAGAAAACTTACCAACTTCACGCCTCACTTTCTTTACATTATGGGAAAGAGTGTCAATGTCTTTTACAGTAATTGGTTTAACAATCTCTTCTGTTTCTGTTTCACAAACCTCTCCGATAATAATAGGTTGCGTTTTTGGGTCACCTTCATCACTTAACACATTCAGATGTAGAAATTCTATGCGAAACCCCACTGTTGCTTCTGGATTTTCTTTATGTAATTCATAAACCTCTTTGTGGTTAGCTTTTATATGTTCTAATAGATCTGGTGATTTTTCAGCAACATGAAGAATAATTTCACATATATTGCACTTCATTTCTTCCTCTTTAAGCTTCAAATAATAAATTGGCACCCAGTCAGGTACCACAGAATCTGTAATAAGTTTTAAATTTATTTATTTATTATAGTTAGTGTTAGGACAGATTTTGTTGGTAATACAGAAACTACACATACAATAAAATTATACTAATAAATAATCATAATCATTATAAGCCAGACAGACGTGCCGAGAAGCTCTCAGAACACCCAGGACTCATGAATGTGATATGTTTCTCACCCTCTTATTCCTTTATAATATCTTCTCACCAAGAAGGCTCAAACTTCTCGGCATGAGTCTGTATGGCCTATTAGAAAACTAGGAAAAAAATAAAAAACATTCTATTTGAAATCATATTTAATTTCCAATCAACATTATTACAGTCGTTACATATGGTTGGAAGTTTTGTCACTCATTCTCTCATTCTAATAACATGATTAAATAAAATGCAGATTTTTAAACAGTAAATTAAAAGAACACTTTACTTACTACTAAACATAGTATTGGTAATTTAATTTAAAATATGAAAAAGCAATATGAATACATCACAACATGTTGAAAATGTTATTGATCATAAACATTTTTAATCAGTAAACATTGGTTTTTTGTGGTTATGAAAATCTCTTACCACTTCAACACCATATGTCTGCATGTTAATGACTGATATACAACCTGTTTTTTGTCTAAATGAACAACACCACTGTTCCGCTCCACATTGCAACCTGCTTCTAAAGACATAGGTGTACCCTTTGTAAAGAATCTGGTGGCCTTTTTTCGTGGGAACACATTGCACAAAGTCGTCACCTGGAAATCACTTATGATTATACTATGATGATATGATGATATATATACTGGTATTTTTATGTAAAATTTCCAATAAAATTCTGATCGTATTATCGGTATGACTGTTTGCATTAAAACAACCTATTGTTTTAAAAAAATACCCTGAAAAGTTATTGCATGATCATTATGCAGCAAATCAGATAAAAGGTAAAGAACGTAAGGAAAAGATAAACTAAGAAAATAAAGAAAAAAACAAAGCAAAACAAAAATACTCAGAAATATTAGCCTGGCGAAAATGACGCAACATTCATGTCAATCTGACATTAACCTTTTAATGAATTACACAGGCAAAGAAATCTATGCCTGAACATGCCACTTTTCATTTTTAATAGAATATCAAAATATGTCAATCAATACATATATCCATATTTAATAACATAATATGCAATTTTAATTCTTTACCATTTAAAATTATAGTAAAAAGAACAAGGTATTTCATTTCAATACTATCACAACAGATGGCGTTAGTAGTCTGAAAAGCTATTGCTATTGGAGATCAATGTAAGTATTTAGGTGGTATACTTATTTATTAAATTGTTTTATATAACTGTCTACTAATTTTCAGGTAGTTGTATAAATTCCAAAATAAAAATACAATATTCTTAAAATTTTTATTGATGACCACAGAGCAGTAGCCATAACTAAGATTTCTGGTTCGATTCCCGATCGAGGCAATGCAGAAAGTTAACTTTTCTATATTGTCTCTTTCTAGGCATTCCTTATACGAGAACTTTGGCAAATTACTTTGGTATCTGAAGAATTTATGTGGCGTCATCTTATATAATATATAGATAGGTTATACTTACCTACTTTTGGTATATTTAGAGCTTATTTGATTATAACGCCTAATCTAGTGCGTCTCTTGTAACAAGAGGAAGATTTTTTTAGTCGCGAGTTCTTGTTTATGTAGATAACGTATTTAAGAGACGTAAAACTAAGACCGTATTTATTTCATAGCGCCCATAAGAGCCATAAACAGTTTTTAATTCGCATTTAATTAGTAATTATTTAATTAGTAGGAAGGTACTGCGTTATTACCTCGGCTACAAGTTCACTCACATATTTATCATATTTTCTTAAAAAAAGGAGATATAATTAGACAAGCAACGTTAAAATAGTGAATTAGAACGATAATTTAGTGATTTTTATTTATACAAAAAAAAAATGAAAATTCCTGTTTATTGCCGTAACCCCTTAACAATAAGATAGTTTTCTAATTTTAAACCACAGCTAATTAGGACGTCATTTCTTTGTACAAAACCAGTTGAAAGTTAATATTAACCCCCTCTTTATAGTGACTAATACTTAAGTAGTAAGGTAATTTATTTTGTAGATAATAAATACAATGTTATTGAAAACTTGACCACACTAACCGTTAATTAAATAGACGGGTACACAAGCACTTATAACCAACAATATTTCAATATATATAACTTGTTTAATCAATTATTATCAATACATAACTCATTTAAGCAAGTTTGGAGGTACAGTGTATGACGTGCGCAGTGCGTGCGATAAGCTTTATTTGTAAATAAATGTAGATGTACTTTGACCATCGAGATATTAGATATTTTACAGGTGTGATTTGATTCACGTAATAGAAATATGAATGATCATACGTTATCGGAGACGTTAGCGGAATAATCCGCTAAGTAACTGTAGGTGAAAGATTTTTTAAAATTGGTCTAATAGTTTTGGAATTTCAACGCTAAGCAATAAACAATAAATTCTTACCTCTTATAATATTAGAATAGATATAGCATTTTAAGGTAAAAACAATTACAGATTTTGGTATAAAGTACATAAGCACATTATATAATTTGAACAGAAATTATAATGGTAAGTATACCGAAAAGATATAAAATATTGTTTGAATGAAATAAGCCTTTGAAATATTATGGTTGGTGAAATTTAATGACAACACTTTATATGTCGCATGGGTTCAATATACTTATTTCAATTTTTATTTAATTGAAATTTTAATTTATCAGTAAATTATTGTAACACTATATTTCATCTTGGCAACTAAGTATATAGGTACAGTGTATAGATTTCCTATAAAGTGTGTATTACAATTACTGCTTATTAAGAGACAGGCTTGATGATTTTAAGTATCGCCTTTTTTTGGCGAAAGGAAAATAATTAGGATCTATAAATAAACTCTTAAACGTTTACGAAACGGTTTTATGTGAATTTTATCACAGAAAAAATAAAAAGGTTTTTATAATGGTAGGTATCATCAATTCTGTTGTGTCTATTTAAAATGTAGTTCGACAAGACTGTTTAACAGCAATTTTTAATTATGAAAATAAATAAGATACAAACATAGATAATATATCTAAGATAATAAAGTAACAGAAGCAAATTTATTATAATAAAGCATACAGAATAGAAGTATAATTATATATCTTTAATTACATATGACATATAGTCATATGTAATTAAAGATTATTATATAATAAGGTCGATTGTTAAGCAACTTTGGCAAGGGCCGTTCATATGATGGGTGATCAAAAATTATTATCTCTAGCACCTCCGTGCTTCGGAAGGCACGTAAGCCATTGGAACCGGCTGCATTTGTAGTCGTTAATATCCACCAATCCGTAGTGGATCAAGGACGGTTCTCCCTATTCGATTCCATCTGTAGGGAAGAGCCCCTTAACATCATTATATTACAAACCTAAATTAAGATTTGAAACTTAGTTTAGTTTTGAGAGTTGTACAACAGATAATGATAACAAGGTACATGGTTAATCCCGCGATAAATTATCAGTCTGGTACAGCAGAATTGTCTCCATTATATATTCTATTTTGTAACGTAGGTACTTACTAAGATTGCGCAGATAAAAACGCGGAAAAATCTAAACCTGTCGGGGTCAAAGTACAATCGATCAAACTAAACAATACCGACCTTGGAATGACGTTATAAACCGTGTCACCGATATTGAGCGTGAATTAAATATTGTACGAACTTTAACATTGTAATGAGGATATAAAAATAAATAAATATTATTAAATATCACATATATTCATTAGATTCCAAGATTCATATGACTTTATGAGCTTTAGACCCCGTATTATCGAGTATCTGAGACAAATATGGTACCACAACATCCATACTCAAGACATTATAGAAAAGTCCATTTTCTACATTGACCCGACCCGGCTCAGAGTTGGCAACACCTTGAAACCGGCGAGATAACCACTTGGACTACGGAAGTATTATTTATGTTGCTTTTAAATACGTTTCCGGTTCAATTAAGCTTAATTTATATATATTTCTTTATTAATACTATATATAGGAAAAATTTGAAGACACCGAAACTACCGTACCGATAAAAAAAAATCACTTCCGGGAACCTAAAATAATACGCGGCACGTAGGCTATAATTTACAAGGGCGGAGTCGCAGGAAACAGAAGACTATAAAATTATCCCACAGCTCGGAAAAAATATGAATGAGGAAATGCAAAAGCAGTCATCAAACATCAATTAATTTTATGACTTCATCAATTACTTCAATTATGCCTGAACATTCTCCGGATATTCCAAACTCTAGCTAGAAAGGTATTAAATGGGTCTTACTGTAGGCCAGTTACATATTGTCTAAAAATTTCAGTAAGTTTTTTAAAAGCAACATAATGGGTACAATGATAATGCAACGCAATTACGTTATCACAATATCGTACGATGCTAATGACGCTTATTACGTGAGGTGCAAAGTTCAAACTGTTAAGTAACTAAACTACTAGTTTTACTATTTCGCCAACAAATTTATCTTTTACCACATAACGTGGAGTTAACGTCGGTCAAAGGTTACCGTTAAGGATAATACGATACGTTAATTGTTATAATTTTTAGTTATTGTAAATGTAAATATGGTACTTAAATGTTTCCTACACTAATAATACAAACAGGAAATAATTATTTGTTTGCATTACGCTCCGAAACTATTGGATCGATTTCCATAATACAATACTTTCACATATATAGAAAACGGATTATGCGGACTTTGTCAAACTAGTACCCACTTAATAATATATGTTATATTATTATAAGAAACAATCAAACCCTAGTTAGGCAATAATATTGCGCAAGAAACACTGTCTGTTACACTAAAACATTTTTTTTTGTGTCGTAGGAATGCTTTATGTAGTCCCCGCCGCTTGTCAGGCGGCAGGGGTTGTCTCTCAATCCATATGGACTCGCCCGAAAGCCCGGCAGCAAAGCAATGATGTATTAGAAAGTTTAAATGTGTTATCCGCGCAAAACATTGGCAATTGCCCGAGTTTCACTTTAGCCACGTTTCAGCAGCGTTGTGGCTAATGTAGTTTTCACTCGTAATTTTATATGAAAAAATGTAGAAAAAAATGCCTTCCTGCGTGTTGAAACTGCAAAAATTACACATTGATAACGAGAAAAGAAAAAAAGATATTACATGCGTAAGTACTGCACTTACTATTTTTTTTATTTAAAGAACGGAGTTAACATGTAAAGTTAAGCATGTAGGTATGTTTATCTCGTTCCAACAAGAGGTATTCTATATCATTCTAATAGGGAGATAACTATTATTTATTTTTTCGCGCCCTTTGTAATGTAATATAATGTAATGTTACCTCAATAAAGTTTAGGCGGTTTTAAAACGCAATAATGTACG